TTTTTACATATCTTTGGATGACTAAAATTAAGAAGGAACATACCAAATGCAGGTCAAGATCTGAAACAAATGAAACTTCCACCCTTGCTGGTGAGAATATGAAATGATAAAACTAATTCACAAAATGATTTGGCCATTTCTTAAAAAGTTAAAAGTAGCAGGGCCAGAAATTTAGCTCAGTGGTTCTGGCACCTGACTTACTAGTTCAAGGACCCAAGTTCAATCCCCAGCACCAGAAAAAAAGGTTAAAAGTAGGGCCAGGAATTTATCTCAGTGGTTCCATCATCTGCTTCTAAAGTGCAAGGTCCTGAGTTTGATCCCAGGTACCAAAAAAAAAGAAAAAAAAGAAAAAGAAAAAGGTAAAAGGTAACTGTCATGAGCCGGCGATGCAGAGCACTGTCCAGCAGTGTCTCAAACCTGAAAGAGCAGCGGGGTGGAGATGGGGCAGAGAGAAAGGAAGGATGCCAAGACAAGAGTCTGATCAAGGTGACGTTTATTGCAGGCAAGCATCAGCCTTTTAAAGGCACATCAACAGGAAACACCTGACTCCTACAGATAACGTCAGATCTTTAACAGGAAGCACCTGACTCCTACAGATCTTTGGCTATCCGAGTTTCTCCCGTGCAGGGTCAAAAACAAGTTTAACACGTGCAGTCCTTAAAAAGGAACAAATGTTAACAAATGCTAATTAGGAACATCCTGACCACACATTGTGTCAATGCCTTGATTATAAAGAAAGAAGTTATCTTTCAAAAAGCCAGCGGGCCATGACTGGCTCCCCACAAGTAACCTCTATAACCTAGCAAAGCCACTCTTAAATATATACCCAGGAAAAATTAAAGTTACATACACAAAATTTGCAGAAGAATGTTTATAGCAGCCTTATGGATAAGAAAGCAATGAAAATAGCCCAGGTGTTTCCAATAGGAAGATAAAGAGTGTTATATTCATAAAATGGAGTATTATTCATAATAAATAGGAAAAAATCACTGATAGAGGCACTAACAAAAGTCAAAAAAGATACAGTCAATGTTATAAAAAGATAAAATCATTCTGAAATAAGAAAATGGTTTATTCTGAGCCAACATAAAGGACCAAAACTGGGAACACTAACTTGAGTTAATAACACGAATTCCCCAAATAACATTCAGATGTCTCCAATAACACAAGGAAACTTCCTGTAGGATTCAGGCAGTCCCTCAGTCTCAGACTTCAGGTGATTAAAGGCCCAAGTCCATTGAGCCTAATATATATTTAAAGATTTCACCTGGTAATCACCAAAAAATGCTGTCAGACAAAAAAGGCAATAATACATGGCTGCTAAAGGGGCCTTAAAATAGCCCAATACAATTTAGGCTTTTTCTCAATCTGTTCAACAATTCATCTCTCTACAAGATCAGGACATTTCAAATCCATATAATTTAAATAATCTTGCCAGGCAGTGTCACACACCTATAATCCCATCACTTAGAAAAGAAGATCACAAGTTCAAGTATCTATGTATGTATCTATGAATGAAAACAATCTCTTTGGAGAAATTTCAGTTTACACTAAGCACACGAGAACATAGTGATTCCAGTAGTTTGAAATTCATACATATCCACAAATAGGTGTAAAAGAAGCCAGGAAGTGGTTCCCTGGGTGAGAAAGAGAAACTGGCTAAGATGGGCACCAAGCTTCTGTCTAAGAGATGGAATGCTAAATTCTTCTTTAAGGTGGTGCTTACACAGCTCCATATTATGACAAAAATGCATCAAACACCTAAGAATTTTATAAGTATATATTGCAACTTTGGATTGTAAGTAACTTGTTCTGTAAGTATTCTTCAAGATAAGCAAACATTTCTAATAAATTTTAATTTGGTAAATGAGCAATGTCTTGCAATAATTAGTAGTATGCTGAATGTCACATGATCACAACTAAGCCATTAGTTCTCTCTTACAGGATTGTTGATGATTATCTACCAACAGCAAGAGGTTATGCAGAGGAGAAAAAGGCAGAAGAATCTTTTATTTCAAATAAAATAAGGGAGATGTGCAAAATGTAAAAAATTGTGCAGAATTGTGCAGAAAATCACCCAAATAAGGCTGTAGCAGTGTGAGTGATTAATCTAACAATGGAATGTCACATTTCTGCAAAATCCTCAAAAGGAGGCAAAAGCAAATGTCATTAGATAGATTCAGTGTTAAAGTTGCCCCAAAAGAAAAGGATTTCATTGAGTCAACAGTTAGCAGATTTTGTTATTATCAGGGATCGTGCAAACTCCCCCCTCCACCTGAGAGTAGAGTGAGGATAAAGGATAACACAAGCCAAAGATTTGCTTAAATCTTTGACAGAGAACTGTCAGACCTCTTATCCAGCTAAGGTCACAAGGCTCTGGAGTTACCAGTATTTATTGATCACACATTACAGGGAGCATAAAAGCAAATGCAAGGAACAGCAGGGGATAAGGTGCTCACTGAGAGCCAGGCTTATAAAAGGGAGAATGTTGCATTCCTGTGAAAGATAGGTCAGATTAATGAGTAACCTGTGTTTTCCTTAGCTAATATTTGTTCTGGGAGAACAGCTGCATAAGTCATAAATCCTAAGCTGCAGTGTCATCTTGCAATCAGAGGCATCACAGTATCATCAATCATTGAGAATTCAAGTGTGACTGCTGGCAAAGGGAATTCTGTTTACACATGCCAGCAGAAGGCACATCTAGCAAATCACATAAGCCTACAACAGACTCACAATTTAATCAATAGCCAATTTAATTATATTTTATAACCTGCTCAGGATGGGTTCAAGCTGGTCTCCAGCACATTAGTGATAGTGAAAATTGTTCTACACAATAACCCTCCTCTCTCATCTGAGGTTCCATTATATCTTATGGGAAAAATTAACTTCAATATACAAGTGCTTTAGATTGTAATCACATTTCCAGAACAAATTATGCTCATGAACCAAGGTGAGTGGGTGGGTTGGTGTTTGCACGCACATGTGTGTGTGTTTTGTTTGGTACCAGGGATCAAACTCAGGACCTTGTGCTTGCAAAGCAGGCGGCAGAACCAGGCCTAAATCCCCAGCCCTGTGTGTGTATTTTTTAAGACAGCATCTCACCAAGTTCCCCAGCCTGGCCTCAAACTCACAATCCTCCCACCTCAGCCTCCAAGTAGCTGAAATTACAGGTGTGCACATCACAGTGCCCAGCCAGATCTGTGATCTGTGCCATTTACTGTATGCTAATCATGCTGCACTAAGAATTCCTAAATTTTCCAAGTTGATACTACTATGGGTAGTGGGCTCTAAATTTTTAGTCCAGTGAAGTATGCACAACTAAAAGGTTAATGAAACTCACTGTGGCAATAATGTTAGGAACTAAGGATTGTTTCAGAGGCCTAAAAATAAACATGAATTAACCTAGCAAAGGGAGGGGCCCACAGTAAATCCATCTCAACTAAAGGAGCAAGATGAGCAACTCATATTAAGAATGTGGAAGATAATCCTGGTGTTCTTCCCTTTGTATCTCCATTTTCTTTCCTCCTTGTCTTCCTCACCTTATCTCACTTTTACCCTCCCATTTTTCTTACTTCCTGAAACAGCCTGTACACTGAGCTCAGCTAAGCATATAAGCCTGTGGCATTTTGGTTTTGTTTTGCAATACTAGGGATTGATCCCAGGGCCTTGCACTCTGCCACTAACTTACACCAAGGTACATCCCTGACCTTTATTTTTGAGACAGGGTATCATTAAATCACACATGCTGGCCTCAAATTTACAGTCTTGCCTCAGCCTCCCAAGGAACTTGGAGTACTGGAATATATCACTGTGCCTAGCTTCTATGTACATAATGTTAATGTCTGTATATAATCCATTATGTAATTATGCCATAAATAACAAATACTCTAGAGTACATTTCCTGTTTTGTATACTGTGCACTAGTAATTCTTCAGTGATCATCCAAGTACTTGTCTGCATTGTAGATAAAAGCCTCAACGTGCTAACAGCAGTTCACAGCTCATGCACACAGTAAGGTCCTCAAGGTGACAACAGTATCACTCACAGATCACGCATATAGCACCAAATGTATGCCAGCACTGCTTTAGGTGTGTCATACATATCATCTCACTTAACCACACAATAAGACTCTGAGGTAGACACTAATTATACCTTCCTCTTGGAGAGTTAATGAAAATGAGCTACAACTTACCATAAATTTTGAGAGGCTCAGTTAACAGGCTAGTCTACTCTTATAAAGGACTACTGTTAAGATTGGCTTGGTGTCCCATACTTGTGATCCTACCAATGAGGGAAGCCGTGGCAGGAAAGTTACAAGTTCAAATTCTACCTGGGTGACTCAGCAAAAGCCTGTCTCAAAATTTGAAAAATAAAATTACTAAGGATGTAGCTCAGTAGTAGAACAACCCGGATTTGATGCTTACTACTGAAAAAAAAAACTAATAATGAAAACTGTCTCTGATAGGACTACATTATATTTGCAAACAGCATCATCCTTGGATCTTCCTAGAGATACCAAGAATTTCTGTCTCAACAGTATTCATTTATCATTCAACAGTCAAACTAAGCATTTTCTATATTATAAAATGGTACATCCTGGTCACTCCTTGATACTGAAAGACAAAGAGGTTATAACTGAAGCAAAATCAATTTTGTTTTTTATTTCCCACAGCATTGCAATGGAAACAGTGTAGCACTGTAATGGGAACATCTGTGCCCTTGTAAACTATATTTTAAAAGGTGGAGGCAAAGGGAAATTTTACAGGCAAAAATAAGGTGGACTTCATCAGATATTTTGATAACCTTTGGCCACAATGATTAGTAACAAGGGAGATGTCAGTCCAAGTTTGAGCAGACAGTTGTTGAGCAGGTGTCCTTCTACAGCACATTTGTATAGGCTGCAGTGTCTTTAAGCTGTGTTTTCAGCAGAGCCTTCTGTGGCACATATTATTATACAATCATGCATGAGACTCTTCCTTCATATCTCCTGGCTTTACTTATTTTTTTTAGGGTTGACACAAACTACCCCATTTCTACTTTAACAACTTACACATTACACACAGATTCACTCATAGAACCAAACAGAAGATCCTCTTCTCAAATTGTTTTTGGATCACTGATTTAACAGAGAATCTGAAGATTGGTCTTCTCCCTGCAAGGCAAGACTCTTGTACAAATAAAACAATTTTGCATACAGTATCACAAACAATTTAACGATCCTCAGATATGCAACTATATGCCCATTTGCCAGCAATTTTGCCAATTACACTCCAACTGAGGTAAAGGGAAAATGCATACCACTAGAAAGCAAGTAAGAATTCATTAAACACAGCAGATATCAGTTAAAAGACAGACATCAGGGTGGGCAACAAGAATAATCACAGCTAATAATGATAAAGAATTTGGCATATGTCAAGCTGTTTATACTTACTCATTTGACACTGACCATGATCATGCAATGTAAGTGCTACTATTACCTCTAATGTGCACAGGAGCTTATCTTCAAGACAGAGAAGCCCAGGAGATGCCTATAGTCACCTGTCTACCAAGGGACCAAAACAGTATTTCAGGTCTGTGCTCTCAGCCATTGTTTTCTTTATAAAGATGAAAGACCATGCTGAGGAGGAGAAACTGTGCTTGGGCAATGTTGTGCTTAACTCTTGAGTACATGTGCTGCAAATACTGCCTGGATTCCTGGTCTCAAATGGATCCCCAACTCACCATGTGTCCAAATGCCCAACATTCCCTTGGCTCTCCACATACAGAGAACTATCTTCAAGTTCTCAGGAGCCTTTAGCCTCCTAGCCCAAAAGTGAAACTCTATGACCCCAAACAATTTAGAATAGGAAAGTCTGAAAGCAAGTGGTTCTTAAGCTTCTTTGAAGGTAGAAGAAACTAGATGTCCCTTTTGAGCATTCTCAAATGTTTTAACAATGTCTCAAAAATACTAAATACACTGGAAGACTCATTCATAGTCCCATTATCTAACAAATCAGTTTGATTCATTTATCTATATTTTCTATTTGCTATTCAATTCTTGCCCACATGCAAATATATTTTTAAGTGAGTATTAGTAGTAGTATATATGTGTGAAATTTTATTTTATTTTTTGGTACTGGGGGTCAAACTCAGGACTTTGTGCCTGTGATGCAGGCGAGGAGCCACTGAGCTAAATCCCCAGCCCTGTGAATGGTTTTATATTACTGAGGTTTTCCTTGCTGCTAACCAACATGAGGTTTATATAAGACACAGAAATATACTAAACTCTACTAAGTGCTTAGAAGATAAGCACAGTCAAGTAAACAATAGTATTTCACTGGGATACTACTATCTCTTGCAATAACTGTGATGTTTTATTCTCAGCAACAAATGTGACTACAGTGCCATATTCATTTAGCTCTCTGAATATGAAGCCTCACTGTTTCTCAACAACTTGCCTACTTAACAGTTCCTTCTCAGAATCTAGCATTTAAGGCTTGGTCAAGAATGTATCCAGGCCAATTACTTTAATGGGAAGTTGTGGAAAGAAAATCTAATATATTTATGTACTGAAATAAATATGTGCATCCTCCAGGCCAATACAATAGTGTGCATTACAGTGGTAACAAGATTGAAAGCATTTCCAAACAGATCACATGTGCACAGTTCCTCTCCACAAGTTCTTCAATATAAAATAAAATTATTGCTCTTAGTGAAGGATGTTCTGTATTCCTTATATTAGTAAGTAGTCCTCCTCACATGATTTGTCTGGTATCTAATAAGAGAGGGGCTACTAACCAGTGCTGTCCCACACTGATTACATATGAGGAACTGTTCCCCAGTATGTGCTACCTTATGGACAATAAATGGAGAGTGCTGACTGAAGATAATGTCACACTGGTTACATTTATAGGTCTCCACTCCAATATGAATTCTCTGGTGCTTGATGAGGTCATTCTTCCTAATGAAGGCTTTCCCACACTGACAACACCCATAGGGTTTCTCTCCAGTATGAATTCTCTGATGCACAATGAGGGCAGAACTCTGGCTGAAGGATTTCCCACAATCATGACATTCATACGGTTTCTCTCCGGTGTGGGTTCTCTGATGTGAGAAAAGATGAGAGCTTCGACTAAAACATTTTCCACAATCTTTACACTCAAAAGGCTTCAGTCCAGTGTGAATTCTGTGGTGCACAACAAGGTGAGACCTCTGGCTGTAAGATTTCCCACATTCATTACATTCATATGGTCTCACCCTGACATGCGTTCTCTGATGCAGAATGAGATGTGTACTCTGTCGGAATGACTTCCCACACTCAGGACACTCATAGGGTTTTTCTCCAGTGTGAGTTCTCTGATGCCGGATAAGCCGGGAGCTATGCACAAAGGCTTTCCCACATTGATTGCATGTATACAGTTTATCTCCTGTGTGAGTTCTCTGGTGGGTGATGAGATGGGAGAACCAGCTGAAGGACTGTCCACACTCTTTGCATTCATACGGCTCCTCACCAGTGTGAGTCTTTTGATGTCCAATGAGATGAGAACTCCGGCTGAAAGATTTTCCACATTCTTTGCATTCATAGGGCTTTTCTCCAGTGTGAATAAGTTGGTGCCTGGTAAGATTAGAGCGCCAACTGAAGAATTTTCCACATTCCTTACATGCAAAGGGCTTTTCTCTGTGTGTGCCCTTTGAGGTACCAAGGGATGCACCAGGAGCAAGAGTGCTATCTTTATCAGGGCACTTGTAAGATTTATCTCCAATGTGAGTTCGTGCAAATTGAATAAGATGAATGTTTTGACAGAGTGTTTGGCCACATTCATTACTGCTACCTGCACAGCTTTCCGGGTGCCCACTGAATAGTAAATCATGTTTTAAACTTTTAGTATGTGAGCCACGTCTATGGAAATACTCTCTCAGTACTAGCTGAGCAGGGAGAAGACAGCTTTCCTCATATTTACTGCTTTCACAGGCCCTCTCTTGAATAAATACTTTCTTCTGGGTAAATGCCACTTGCCTCATATGTCTTTCTTGGCTTTCTTGATATTTACCTAACTGGTCATCACGTTTCCAGACATCTTCTAGTGACAAATGCCAAAGATCATTCTTTGACACTCTTTCCACTTTAATGCCACAGGACTGTTCTTCCTTAGAAATGGTCTTTCTGGATACTGATGATTTAATTTCAGCTGCAGTCTCTGAGTCTAAAAGAAAGGAAAGCATGATAGAATGTATGTGGAGCCAAAGTACAAAAAAACTATGTAGAGTTAGCTTTCAAGGATTGTTTGATGATCTCAGTGGATAAAGACAGAGGGAAACATGAAGCAGTAAGCAATAAGTGCATCAGGCTATGCACACAAAATAACAATAAGAATAAAGAGAGGCCACAGGTCTGAACATGACCAAAGAGATCAAAAGAAATAATGAGGGGTAGAAATAAGGGAAATCTCACAGAAAGGCTGCCTTCTCATTTCCAAATCCCAAACAAGAATGAGGCAAGATCCTAACTTATCTATTTGTTGCCAGGCATTCCCCTCACATACATTCTTCACACTCTTGCCAATTTAATATTTGTAAACCATGACTCCAGCGACATGCTAGGCAATACCCTCTGTCCACATCATCAAAGTAATACAGAATGAGGCCAAGATGGCTGACACAAAGCTCTCTCAGGAATCCACATGAGATGGAAATGGAAAAACATGAAATTGAGCAGACATAAGCTCTCATCTAAGCTCTGTCACTACTAGTCATGATTGGGGGGGACTTGGTTTTTGGTTGGGTGTTTCTTTTTTTTTTTCTAGTCATGAATTTAAACAAGCTAAACTCCCTAAAACTCCTTTTGTTATCTATAACCCAAGAATGATACTATTTAGTATGTAAGATTATCATAAGTATTATATAAAGTGTGAACCTATTACAGTCTGTCACATATATGGTCACAGCAATGGTATTTATAATAAACATTAAAATTAAGGGCCAGGGATTTAGCTCAGTGGTTCCAGTGCCTGCCTTGCTAGCACAAGGACCTGAGTTCAATCCCCATACCAAAAAAGCAAATAAACATTACAATTACTCCTCTTTTCTACTTTGACTCCTTGGTTCCAAGATATTTCTGTTGTTTGGATGTCAAATGTTTCCCCAGAGGCCCATGTGTTGATAACTTGGTCCCCAGGCTGGCAGTACTGGAAGGGTTTTAGATCATGAGGGCTGGCCTTTGAGGGAGATAATAGAACTGTGGTCTCTTCATCTTTGCCTCCTGGTTGATGAGGGAGTGGTTTTACTCTGCAACAGGCTTCTGCTACAATGTGCTACCTCCTCAGAGGCCAAAAGCCATGGGCTGACTTGGTTATAGCCTAGAAACTTCACAACTGCAAGTCAAAAACAAATCTTTCTAAGTTAATTATCTTGGATGTTTTGTTATAGAGAAAAAGATGACTTGTACTGACATCAAGATTAACAACAAATACAATAAAAAAAAAAAAAGAGCAGGAAACCAACCCAGAATCTGGAAACTGACCCATATTCTCCTAGGTTTTTTGCTTCTCTGCTAACTGTATACATAATAATGTAAATTATCTCCCCTGCTTAAGCACATGTGTTTCTCAATGTTTTTTATATAAAATGTTTGGTACAAAATGTAGAAAAAAACATTACATAATACCACTTCTTATGTAAATAGGGCTGCACTCTCTCACCCAACAAAGATATGGTAAAGTCTTGATCCTTAGTATCTCATAATGTGGCCTTTGGAAATAGGGTCACTGCACATCATGGGTGAGGGGTACCCCTAATCCAACAGGGCTAGTATCCTTATAACAAAAGAAAAGACAGAGAAATAGACACACAGAAGGTGCCACCTGAAGATAGAGGCCGAGACTCAGGTAACACATCCACAAGCCAAAGATTGTAGGATTACCAGATACTTCCTAGAAGCTTGACATATCCTCATATTTGAACTTTTAGCCTGTGGTAACATAAGATAATACATTTCTATTATTTTAAGACATCCAATGTCTACTCCTAGTTGAGTATGCCTTATCCAAAATCAGTGAGACAGGAAATGTTTTGATTTTGGACTTTTTTCATGTGTTGAAGTATGTACATATAATAATGTGATTATCTTGGAGATGGGATCAAAGTCTAAACACAAAATTCATTGATGTTTCATTTATACTTTATACCTATACCCTGAATAAAACTTTATATAATATTTTTATTCTGTGCATGACAAAGATTTCATGAACCATGAAAAAGCAAAGGTGTCACACTCAGCCACCAATGTAGACAGCCAATCCATGCTGGTCTCACCATTGTTCTTGATTTGATTTATATGTTTCTGATAAGCTATCATTTTTTATTCTAATTCACACATAAGTACCTAGCAATAAGACATGACATACATTAGTACACTGAAAAACAGCAAAAAGAATTTAAAAAACCAGCATATATCATTTTGCTAAACTCCCTCTGAAAACCTTCCACACCTACGTGTCTGTTCACTGCTGCTAGCATGCTGTTCAAGGAAGTGTTTTTTAAATACTGTTCAGTGACTGTAGGATACCCTGCTCATATGAGCAAATTAATGAATCGGATCTAAGAAAAGTACATGGCATAAACATAGCTGATGAGTTTCATCTGGAGGACGAGCAGAACACTTTCAGCCAACATCTGATCCAGCTTACCTTCAGTGAGACATGCCACTAGTACAAAATGTTTGTGAAACCAATCAGCAAAGTTGTTCCTGGAAATCTATGCCTTTTAGCATAGCAATAAGCTGGTAAGAAATCCATCCCTTTAAAACAGGGCAGATTCAAACTCTTGCCTGTTACAGCAGGTTTACATTTCCACAAGCCTATGCCAGCAATTACTGTCTTTGGAACCTTAACTCCTGTACAGGCCTTTCATCAGCTGTAGTCAGTGTCTTTCTGTGGCAATGATGCCAAAATAGTGATAGTTTCTTTCATCAGTATCACAGACTTATTCCTGCATCAAATTTTCATCAGTGATGACCTTGATAAGCACTTTAATGCATTTCTTCACAATCAGTTTTCCATGATCAGCAAATCACTTAGTGGCACATGGTCACTGATGCTAATTCAGCCTTTTGATATGCTATGGGACTCATTTTTAGCTTTATGCATTTTTAGATTTTTCTACTTTTCATTAACTGCTGTTCACCACTTTCAAAACAGAGCTTTAACAGTTTATCCTTCTGTTTCTCTAGATCATTTCAATGCCAGACTTGTATGTAAGATGTTTCATTATTATGTGACCATCTAGCTTCTTAAGCATCTTGGCTCTCAGTGACTTTTCTTATCACTGTCATTCATAGGGGTATCTGCAGGCTTTTTTCTTTTTTCTGTTTTTACATTTTCAGTATCTTTATACCACAGAACAGAAAATAAGCAAAACACACAGAAACTCACCTGATATTAGCCCCATGTGGAGAACTGTGGGAAACCTGGCTATAGTGAGAATTGTCTTCTGCACCCTAGCCAAAGTAACTCCAACTTGTGGTACACAGATCTGACTGTTCAGTTGGCCCCTGGGCCTCCACCAGACACTGAAACAGTATGCCAGACTGCAGCACAACAAGGTTATGCACCAGTGCCACTAGACAGCATTTACTACGACTGGCAGGGTTTCTTGCTAAGGCCAGGACAGAAGCAAAGTACAGACAACTTTCCCCAAGGACCCTTCTTGCTTTTGCTGTTTTAACCAGTGCTTTATTAATGGTACCCATCTAGCACAGGAGGTGTGGCAGTTTCAGTAGTGCTTCAATGCAAAAGTGCACCATTGCTCTACTCAGTCATTCGTCAAGCTGGACTTTTCTGAGTCTTTCTTTGGACTGTCAGTACCTTCTCAGATTGGAGGCAGATGCTTCCTTTAAGTCTCTCCAGGAAATACACACAACACTGCCATTGGTATACATAAAAATGATATATCACAGATGAAGGGGGCTAGAAGGTTCTTTTTCTTTCTTTTTTCTTTTTTTCTTTTTTTTTGGGGGGGTACCAAGAATTGAACTCGGGTCCTTGTGCTTGCAAGGCAGGTGGCAGAACCACTGAGCTAAATCCCTGGCCCTAGAAGGTTCTTCTTTTTCCCTTGGAGACTGAAAAAATGTGTGCTGTGCACCTTTATTTTAGATTTTGACCTGTCACATGAAATCGGGGTGGTCTTTTCCACTTCTGGCACTATAATAGTGCTCAAACAGTTTCAGATTTTATAGTATTTTGGATTTCAGATTTTCAGAGTAAAAATGTTCAATATCTTTCTTATGGTAACTCCAAGAAACCAATATGAATAAGCTCAGTGCCAGATTGCCTTTTCTGTAGAACCACACCCCAGTAGTACTAATTTTCATTCCCAACTTTGTTAGTTTCTCTTTTCTACACTATCCTGATGATTCTTTTCTGTATCATTCCAATTTTAGTATATGTGCTGCTGAAGTGAGCACTATCCTGATGAACTGCGATAAGAAAAGATCTTTTCCCCTTTTCTCTTTTGCCCAAAGAAACAGAGACTCCCACAGAGAAGTCTTTCAAACTACAAATGCCAAGATGAAGATTTAAAATGACTACAGTGATGAGGAGAGGCTATGCAACTGCTGGGGACATGAGTGGGTATGTTCTTTCACTAAAATCCAAAAACCTTTCATTTACCATAAAACACAGACAAATACACTACTGTTAAACTCTGCCACACCCATCAATCAACTCCTTGTCTTCATCTTGTTTATTTAGATAATTAAGTTCACGGGGTCTTATAGATTTCTATAAACTCCATGCATTTAAACACTTGAGATCTCACGTCTTTTGACCACAAAGCCTCAATAAAAACATAAACTGCTGGATCTAGTTAATGATTGTTACTTTTACAGACTTGTCATTTAACATCTGGGAAAGTCTGCTGAATAAATGGAACAAAAAATGGAGAAATTAAGGAAGGAGAAAAAAAGAAAAAGAATAAAACAATATTTTCTCCCAAGACACAAAGCAGTTAGTTGAGAGATAATGTTCTCATTAGTATATTGAATATAGCTCACCCTTGAGACAATTTTGATTGTCTCATCTACCTACAAGTCAAATGTAAAAATGTCAAAAATGTTTTTTGATATTTCAATTGGAGAGAAAAACTAAATAGAAGCTCAGTAAAAGAAAGGTCCTATATTTCAGGTCATAAAAGGTTTCACAAAGAGAACCTGAGGGTAAACTCAAGGGAAAAGTAAGGCTGAGACAATCTGAGATGCAGGGAAATGCCTGGGTCTGTGCCCATTAGGTTCTGGAGGAACAGAGAGAAATGATAGAAGATTGTTCCAAGATGACCAAACCACACTGGGCTTGGAAACTATACATCCCATGTGAACATACTCGGAGTCAATGGTACAGGTTCCGGCCATTCCACACAGCAAGCAGTGGGTTATCTGCAGTATGACACAGACAAGAACTTCTAAAATGCTGAAAAGAATGCCAGGTCCCTAAGTTGTGAAACAAAGGAGAAGACTGCTTATAGAGAATAAAGGAATGGAAACTGAGAGATGATTCCTATTTTCTAACCTAGAAGGTTGACCTTCCCCGTATATATATACACATGGAATTTGGAAAAAAAAAATTAGGAATGATAATATTAAAAAGAAATATGAGTAAGTGAAAAAATATTAAATGAAGAGCTATAGTGGGTAAAGCAGGTATTTTTGAGAGTTACAATTTTAGAACAGAAGAAGAGTTCACCCAAGAGGAACCTGTGAGCCCTCTGTAGCAATTTTACAAAGAACAGAACAAGTGGTACAAGTCCTGCTGCTGAGCTTCCAGAGCTGAGCTGAGCTGAGCTATGGGAAAGAGCAACATGAGAAAGAAAAGAGAAGCAAAGAAACCAGAAATGACTCTCTCATTTATGAGAAAGACTCTCATAAATAGAGAGAGGTAATGCTAGAGTTCATGGTAATAATCAGGGAAAAAAAAGTGCTGAAACAAAGCATATCAATAGAAAGACACTTTTAATAAAGAGGTAAAGTATATCTATCTGTCCCTGCATGCAAATATAAGTGGGACAGGAATGCAGAAAGGAGACTAGTGACCCAGAAACAGAAGGTAGATAATCTCAGACCTCTCTCAGAAACAAGGACCTGTGAAGAGAGTTGTGACCCTGTTGCCAAAGGCTCCAGCCCTTTGTGGGCCATATGGGCCACCCTCTGGGCCAGCTTCTGTCTAGTCTTACCTGGATACGTCCCATGGTAAAACCCTTTATCCATCATCCAGGGTTCTTCCCCTTTCTCCAGCCGCAGGATCATGTCTGGCTTAAGAAGCTGATTCCCTGTTCACAATGAAAGAGAATGATTAAGAGCAGGAGAAGCTCCAGGCAAGATCCAACCCATTCCAATCTCTGCAGCATGGGGACTACTTTGAAAGTGGACAATACGAGGTTGCAGAGTAACAAAAAGAAACACACTTTTTTTTTGTACTGGGGATCAAACTCAGGATACCTTGTGCTTGCAAGACAGGTGGTAGAACTACTGAGCTAAATCCCTGGCAAGAAATAGACATTTTAACAAATTCAATAAATTACAACAAATTTTCCACAAAAGCAGGAGAACCAAAACCCTGCTCTATGCCCAAAGAAACTAGGTCACTGAACTCCATGCCTACACTCTGATACATGCTTCAAGAGCATTTTATACCTTCTGAGCCATGAAGAGCCAAAGTTCTACAGTAAGCACAGCTGCAAAAAAAAAAAAAGGTTAGTCTTACCCAAGGAAACTATGTTCTTATAATTCTCCAACATCACATCTTTGTACATGATCTGCTGAGCAGCATCCAGCAGCTTCCACTCCTCCCTGGTGAAGTCCACAAGCACATCTTTGAAGGTCACCAGTTCCTGCAACACCAAATATATGTGCTGTATGCCAGATGAACAATTCTGCCCTCCCTTTCCCAGATCCCAACAGGAAAGGCTGGGCTGGTGGCTCTGGTGGAGACAGAGCATGGACCAGAAGAGTAAGGAGTATCCTTGATGGTCAAATGTTAAAGAATGGCTATTAAGCACCTACTATCCAAAACTGAGGTCTGCATTGTGCTTTGGGTTTAGAAACTGGCAGAAGCATTTTTACTCAAATCAAGCTTATTTTAAAGCTTAATGTAATGGGAAGGAGAATCAGACACGAAAATTTAGTCCATGTTTATAATACATGAAATTTGGAACCTATTTCAAGGGAGGAGAATTGGGCGGGGTGATAAGTACTACTTAATACTTAGGGTACTAAGACTTCATACTGAAGCAGGTATTATGACCAAAAACATTTTCCCTCAAAAATGGAGAAGTTAGGTGATTATACTTTGGTAGAGCAAAACAATTTGACAAAGAAACAAGATACAGATATGTGGCCTTTATCAGCTATATCAAAAAGAAGAGCTGATTATACATAAAAGAAAATCTATTTGAGTGATAAGGATTTCTCAATCAAAAACCATGGAGGTCAGAAACCATGAAAAAATGTATATTTGCTTTTAAAAAGAAAATAATTTTCAAGCCAAGATTTCTATATCCAGTCTTTTAAAATTGACACACAGTAAAACTGACACTTTGTTGTAATATCTGGTCTGAAAGATGAGCTATAGGGAGTTCTTCAGGTAGCATGAAAAGAATACCAAAGAGAAACCAAAATCTCAGGAATGAAGGAAAAACAACAAAACAGAAAAAAATTGGGCAAGTACAAAGGCTTAGTATTCCCTTAAATCCTTCAAAATTATAGGACACAGGACATAGGAGCAAGAAGCTCTAGGGTGTCACGCGCCATTATTTCCGGGTTCTTCATGCCCTGCATGAATCCCGGATGTGAGTCCGCCGGTGACGGCGGTTCACGCCTGCGCAGAAGAGGTGCTTGGCTCGTCAGAATGACGCAGGCCGGCATTGACCAATAGAAATGGGCCACGTCACCCGAGAGGCTATAAAAGGCAGGCTCGCGTCCGGCTCGGGGTCTTTCCGCCATTTTGAAGAATGTAGAAGAACCTCCAATAAAGCGTGCTTCAGAAGAATCCTGAGTGTTGCGTGTTCCTTGCTGGCAAGGTGCGCGTGACACTAGGGTACTATTGCACATTAAAGTAATGAGAGGTAATGATATATAACATACATCCAAAAGGCTAGAAGAAAAGATTTTGAAAGTTATCACCATAAAGAAATGATGTTTTAGCCAGGCATGGTGGCACATGCCTATAATCACAGCATCTGGGAGGCTGAGGCAGGAGGATCGCTGTGAGTTCGAGACCAGCCTGGGCTACATAGTGAGTTCCAGTCAGTCTCAACTACATAGTGAGACCCTGTCTCATAAAACTAAAAAAAAAAAGATGTTTCAAAGATAAATATGTTGAACAGCATTTAAAAATTATGTACTTACATGAATCAAATATTACATGTTATCCCAATTAATATGTATAATTTTTATGTTTTATGTATCAATTTTAAATAATTTAAAGAAAAATTAAACTTATAGGACAGATGAAAGCAAACACTACCACATTTTCTAGTGGAGCTTTTTATTTATTTATTTATTTATTTATTTATTTATTTATTTTTGGTACCAGGGATTGAACTCAGGTCCTTGTGCTTGTGAGGCAGGCAGCAGAACTACTGAGCTAAATCCCTGGCCCCTAGTGGAGCTTTTTAAAACACAGGGAAGAACAGGGCTCCAGATTTTACCTTAAGTGATAAAAACTAACTCTAGATTATAAAAGACTAAATATCATTTAAAAATACAAAAGCAATCATTTAAAAATATGAAAATAACAATGTGAAATGGGAAGAAAAGGGCTAAAGGTGTAGGGAAAGTGGGAAAGGTAGAGGAAAGGTAGTAAGGGAAAAGAAAAAAATATGAGAAAAAAATGGAAATAATGTGTTTGTAAATGGAGAGGGAAGGAGGGGTTGAAGGGAGGGCAGGGACAAGGGGAAATAATGAGAACTAAGACCTGTCATGTAAAGGTACAAGATCCCAATAATGAATGTAACTGTACTGTATACCTAAAATGTATCAATAAACTCAATGAGTGAATAAATAAAAATATGACAATATACAACTAAAAAGCCAAGACATAACTTAAAATGGAATCCTAATAAGTTAACACAAAGGTAGTACAGCAGGAATGGGAGCTGAGGGTGGGAACATATAGAAAACCTACAATAAAATGATATATTCAAATCCAATGATATAAATCATATAAATGGACTAAATACACCTAAAAAATAGAGATTGCCAAAATGGATTTAAGGGAAGCAAGCCACAAACCTCAAGTATCTGCTACCTAACAGAAAACCATGTTGTATATAAACTGGCAAGGTTAAAAATATAATGATAGGACCATATATATCACAGAAACACTAATTATATAAATCACAGGGTTGGAGTGGCTCTAACTATCAGATAACCAAGAATGCAGACAAATGAACATTACCATAGATAAATACAGATAGGACAAACAGATACATGGGTCAATCTGCCAAAAGTACCACTAATAAAAATCATCCTAAATATATCAAGATATAAACATTAATCTATAAAACTTCTATAAGAAAATCTAGGCAAAAATCTCTGCATCTTGGACTATTCAGAAGGTTCTTAGCTGTACCCTCAAAAGCATGATCCATAAAATAATAAATGAGACTTGGTTGCAGGGTATGCGCCCATAATCCCAACACTCTGGAGGCTGAGGCAGGAGGAATAAAGATTTGAGGCCAGCCTGGGGCAGGTAGCAAGACCCTGTCTCAAAACAACACAACAAAATAAAAAAAAAAAAAAGAAAAGAATAAGATGATAAAAGTTGACTTCATCGAAATTAAAATCTTTTTATTCCTCAAAAGATATTGCTAAGAGAAGCGATAAGCCAGAAGACTAAGAGATACTATTTGCAAATCATGTATTTAACAAATTATTTATATGTATAATATATAAGAAATTCTCAAAAGTGGAAGGCAAAAAAACACACAAGTTAAAAGCTCAGCAAAAGATTACAATAAACAGGGCCAGGGATTTAGCTCAGTGGTTCCAGTGCCTACCTTGCAAGTGCAAGATGTCAAGTTCAATCCCCAGTACCCCCCAAAAAAATTACAATAAACATTTCATCAAAGAAGACACACAGGCATGTAAATAAGCATATGTTCCATGACATTATTCAATAAAATGGATGTTAAACCATCATGACATGCCAGGCATGGTGGCACACATCTGTAGTCCGAGCACTCAGAAGGCTGAGACCAGAGGATAACAGTGAGTCTGAGACCAGCTGGGCTATATAGTGAGTTCAAGGTCAGCCTGAATGGCATAGTGAGACCCTGTCTCAAAAAAACCAAACAAAACCATTGTAAGATATGATTTGATACCTATTACAGCGTAAATTTTTGAACAAAACACTTGTGAAGATGCAGAATGAATGCTACTCATGCCCACTACCATGGGAATGCAAAATGCTACAACCACTCTGGAAAATAATGCACATTTTTCACAAAGTTAAGTATACTTTTACCACATGACCCATGCTGATCAGTTTTCTGTTACTGTGACAAAATAGCTGAAATAATAAACTAAAAAGAAGAACGATTTGGCTCACAGTTTTACGGGTTTCAGTCCATGGTTGGTTGGCTCTGTTGCTTTCTGGCCTGTGGCAGCACAGTATGTGATGGTACAAAATACATCACAGAATGTGTGGAGGGTTGCTATTCACCTTATGGCTAGGTGTCAAAAACAAAGAGATGTCAGAGTCCTATAATTCTTTTAAGGGCATAGCCCCAATGACCCGAAGACCTCCCACCATCCTTCCCCTCTTCAAGGCTCCACTGTGTCCTAAAAGTACCAAGCTGGAGATCAGTTCTTCAGTACATGGGCCTTTGGGGGACACTGCAGCAGGACCTTTGGCAAACACCTGAGAATATGGAAATGTATATTCATACCAAAACTAATAGGCAAGTGTATAAAACTGATAAGGGCCTTAATTAAGTGTAATTGCCCAAACTGGAAGGAACTCAAATATCTTTCAACACATAATGCAAAACAAAGTGTGCTACATCCACACAATAGCAATTTACTCAGCCATAAAAAGTACAGGCTACTGCCCAGTACAACAGATAAATTTCAAAGACATTATGCCATGTGAAGAGCTATGGGCTGCATATCACGACTCTGTTCATAGGATATTCTGGAAGAGGAAAAATACAAGAATGGAGAATAACTAGTAGGTGCAAGACGCTGCAGAGGAGGGGGAAAACATGACAACAAAGGGGAAGCAGATGAAAGTTGGGGTGATGGATCTGTTCTGTACCTCAAATGAAATGGTGGTAATACGCTATTTGCATTTGTCAAAATGGGAGGATTTAGCTGGGTGTGCTGGTGCCTGTCTATAATCCTAGCACTCTGGGAAGCTAAGGTAGGAGGATTGCAAGCTCTTAGTCCTGCCTTGTAAACTTACCAGGGCTCTTTCTTACAAAAAAAAAATTGGGGGGCTGGGGATTTAGCTCATTTGTGCCACCGCTCGCCTCACAAGAAGAAGGTCCCAAGTTCAATCCCCAGTATTAAAGAACAAATAAACAAAAACAATTTTTTCTAAGGGCTAGGGATGTAGCTCAGTGTAAAAGCCCTGGGTTCAATCCCCAGGACCACACAAGAAAAGGAAAAGATTTTATTGTATGTAAGTTTAAAAATCAATGCAAAGCCCTTCAAGGAATGTTCTGTGAGGTTTTATGTGCCGAACATTTCTTTTTTTTTTTTTTTTTTTTTTTTTTC